TCGAACCGCTCTTTCGTGAACATTCGTGAACCACGAACCACTGTCGTGAAGTCCAAAAATCGTGGTCGAGCCTTCAAAGTGGATCACGCCACTCTTTTGGTCAATGAAACCAGCTAATCTTTTTTCTGCCTTGGAGAAACATCACGTGGCTGTGCCTGTTTGGCTTCTCAGTTTCTGTCGGCTCTGTTTGGCAAGCCAGCCGATTCCGTTCTTTTCATGTGAAACCGCTTGGCTTCACCAAGCATCAGGGATCGTCCAAGCTCCAAACAATCATCTTGGCAGCGATCTTTTCGGCATTCTCAGGAGCGACCTGGCATCATGAACTAGCATTACAAATATCCTACACTCAATGAGATTGGAAGAGAATCACATCCCCTTGCCAAGCTGTCTGCCCTCAAAGGAGAGTCCCACTCGCGCGGCACGCGCTAGCGTTTGACCTTCGCCCCGGCGTTTCACCGTCACTCTCGAGACGTGATTTGGAGACCGTGAGACACCCGTCGACAAACGGCCTCCAGCAAATGCCCCAGTTGTGGGAGGCGCATGTTCTTGTAGACCTAGGACTCAGTTAACAAGAATGTTCGAGAGAACGAAACAGAACTCACATCGGTGTTGGCTGATTCTGTGTAGGGCCTGTATCACGAAGCTACGTAGCGGGGGCCTGATAATAGCGAGCGTATGAGCGTGGCAAGAGTAGCATTTGGTGGATGGGAGCAGAACGAACATGTTGAACATGTCTTTGTATTTGACCTCCCAAGAAAAGCGTGCTTTGCAGCAAATTCCATCAAAGTCGGTCTTGCCCGTGTCTCCCTTTCTGGGCATCTGCATTCCATGAAGTAGAGTCTTCCGTCGTCCTCGAGACTCGAGAATATCAATTACTATGACCTGACACATAGTCAAATGAATACCAATCATTTCCTCCCAAGAAATACGAGTTCACGTGAACTCATGAACCGAAACTTCACGTCCAATTCTTTGCTTCAGCCGACCCGTGAGGCCGCAAGGACGTTGTGCTGCAGCCTCAGCTGGAAGTCTGCAATTTGTTGAGGCTCCCAACGCTTCTTTAACAAAACCTAGTAATTACTGTGATGTACTGTGTGTGTCTCATGCTCAGATGCACGACAACAAAGCACCACTAGTAGGCACTTGGAACCCAGGTGTGCAACAAAAAAAGAGTGGATGTCCGCTTCCAGGAGTCCAGAAGTTTTATGCTAGAGACACGTTGGATCATCTCAGGATCTGACACTGCCCTTTCAAGGACAGTTGAGCCATCAGGACCAGTGGCCTGAATTAGTTCAGAAAATGTCCTGAACCATTTAGATTTACCCCCTCTCTGCTAATCTGCAAAGATCCAATCCGAAAAGCACCAAGCCTTCTGATGTGGCAGCAAACTGTCCTCAAATTTATGCACCTGCCAAGGTCAGTCAGCGACCACGGTGGTCCATGACCGTCTTCACCGGTCACACGGACCAGACGACTAATGGCGTGCTAAGCTATTTCGAGCTACATTGGGGTGTAAAGTCTGAACAGGGCGTGACAGTTAGACTTGTAAAGAGCATCGCTGTAAAAGCATATTAATATATATTCAGTAAATAGTAATAGAAATAGTATTGATAATCATAGTAACAACAAAAATCCATAATAATCAGCTAGTCCCGCTAGGCTGTCACATCCCTTCTTCGCTGTCCAAGCATTCTCGTATGCATTCATCAATCGACACTGCCTCTGAGCCCCGGATCAGGCGCTCCTGATTGGCGAACACAAAAAGCGATGCCAACTGAAGGCCGATGTTCAACTGAAGACCATAAATGAGCGATCTCTCCATCTTCTCAAAAACGATCGCCAATTCCACCATATGCCCAGCTGTGATGACCAAGGCTCGTGCCATAAACATTTTTTGGAGGATCTCAAAGTGCTCAACGGCTCGAATCCTGCGCCCAGGTTGTGCCAACCATCTCTTCGTCACCGCCCGATTCACCCAACTGTTGTTGTAAAGAGATGAAGACAATGGCATGATAAGCGTTGTTCTGAGGTGCTGACAACACTGTCTGTGTGTCTACAAAAGATTGTCCTGTCTGAAGTTCTCTATGATTCGAAGGCATGACAAGGCGTGACTTGTACACCAATGGCCAATGTAACGCCAAGAGAGGAGACACCTCAGCTCCAAACGCTTATACCGTTTATGCTGAGAGATCATGAAGGCCAAACAAGGAGATGGTCAGGTCCACATTGTCGTCTACTTTGGTTGGGCACTGGATATGCTCTGCTATCATTCAGGAAGCAGTCGATGTCCAAATGAGGACGAGATTAGCTGCAACAACATTCAGTTCGTTGGCAGCATTCAAGCCTTTTTGCTGCTGGCTGTGATACTTTCAAAGTGGGGGTGTGGTCCTGAGTTGAGTGGCAAACAGCACTGTACTACTTCACAAAATGCACTCTGCAGATGCAATGACCCCAATTCCCATGTTGGCCTCTCGTCCTTGCAAAGAGAGGCTAGTATCCTGCAGGGATGACATCCCTATCCCAAATCAGCTTGATCAAAGCACACTCTCATCAAAAAGCATCGTGAAGTACTGTGTGGAGCCTCCCGGCGTCTTCCAAAATGATCTTCAAACCAAAAGCATGCTAAAGTGGTGTTGATCTCATCAAAACGTGTTTTGACATTGTTTTGACATTGTTTTGGAAATCATCCATCATTTGAATCCTCCTGTTGACCTATTTGAATTGGTTCTCATCGAAAGACGCCGTCTCCTGGAGCGCTGAGGCCCCGCAGGCGCCAGAATGGCACAGGTCACGGCCTCACTGGACCGTCGTTCCCGGGTTCTGTTGACTCAGGTCGGGCACCGTGCCGCCATTGGCTAGACCTTGCTGACTGCATTCCTCCGAAACTTCCAATCGGGCCTTTAGAGTGAATTCTCTGGTACACGTCAGATCACAACTTGGGTAGACCTTGCAGACACCGTCGATTCTCCTTAACAACCTAGAATCCCAGATAGATTGTTTCTGTGAAGTTCTGGAAAAAAAAGGCGTGATTCCATCGTACTGTTTGTGTGGGTCCAGTGTCCAGGAAAATGCATGAGGAACAGGTGCCTACGACTACAACTCGTCATGCTTAATTCTTCAGGAAAGTGGGTGGTCTCTGCATAACTTCACTTCGATATCCACTTCTTGAAACCATGTGCAGGGTCAACCGGACTGAGAAAACCAGATATGACATGTCCTTTTGGTGCAAAATCGAATCGCTTGACACATCTAGATTATACACCTTCATTTGCATAAACATCGTTCCACGATTTATTCAAAAAAAACATTGAACAAAGGAATGAAGGAGTGTTTACAATTGGGATGATGCGCTCGTACAGGGTGAGGTGCTCATAAAAGGAAGAATCATTAATGAAGAAAATAGATGATTATACATTTAAAGAAAAGAGCATTCTTTGCAAGGGAGGGGCATTTGTATAAGGATGAGCTGTGGATAAAGGATGGGATTGAACATCAAAACACACTTTATACAAACAGCATAAGCTCTTGTAAAGAGAGGCCAACGTTAGGTGTCTTTGTCAGTCTTGCATGAAAAAGGAAATCTTTAGATGTGGCGACTTCAGACTAAAGAGGATACTGTAGCTTTAAAGGAAGCATTGAAAGCAGACTGTTTACCCCAAGCTTCTTCAAGCCAACATGTGCATGTTAATCCGGATCTAACACCAGGAAATGCAACAAGCATTCGGAAATTTGGCTCTGTTTGAAGGATTCATGTCAACCAATACAGTAGGAGATTTGAGAAAGGACAAATGTTCAGAATAGAAGAACGTCTTACAAGAACTTTGGGATGGAGAGCTTTTAAAGAAGAGAATCTTCTCGTGAAGGAGAACCGTTTATGAAGGATGGCATAATTGCACAAGAGAGATCTTGTGTACAAACATTGACTTTCCACTCTCTGAGCATAGGCTTTGGAGGGGATAATTACAGTAGATGGACAAAATAATCAAACCCCAGAACATCATGTTGTCTCCATGAACCCCGCACTCCAAATCTCTACGTTACAAGTTCAACATGTTTTTGGTACCTTGGGGGTTGATTATATAGTTTCGTCCATTCGGCCCTAGTCTCCGGGAATAGTGTCAACATTGAGCTTTGGGGGAGGGGGGAAGTCGGAAGTGTATGTGGTCAAGGATTTGATTATTTCGTCCATCTACGGAGAATCTACGGTAGTTCGACCCCGCATATCTAAAACAAAAAGAACCAAACGACACATCATGGCTTGATTTTCACCACATGTTTTGAGGCTTCGGCGCACTTCAGCAATTGCAGGAGGTCAGCCTCGAATGGGCCAAGTTTGGGTCGATTCTCCTTTGAAACAAAAAAAATATCATACCATAGAAAACCGCTGGGCACACCAATCCTGACAAGAGGATTTAAAGACTGCAAAGAGCTTAATTAAGTCGGCCAGGACGTCTTGCGAACTCTGTTGATTCTGCTTGGTGTCAAAAGACTTTCAGTTGGAATTGCACCCTGGAAACTTCACGTGGAACCTGAAAACCACCTGTTTGTGGAGGACGCTATAGTCGCAGACCTTCGGACCTTCGGCTGGTGGCTGCTTGTGAACTTCCTTTTAGCTGCCCTTGAACCGGTGGGACGGTCCGCCTCACAAATCTGACCGCCAAAGGTCTGCTGCGAGAGGTCGCAGTACTTGGAAGCAGCCTCCAAGAACTTCCTGCGATCCGATTTCGGTGGTTGAAACATGTTGAAACCACAGCAAGTACAGGACCAGAACCGGAGCAGGAGAAAAAAAAAGCAAGTGTCCACGCGGGAGTGTCAGAGTGTTCACCAAGCTGCTTGGTAGAGCAAGCCGTGAAACCATACTCTCTACCCAGTGACATTCATTCAAAAAAAAGCCTTGTCCTGTGATATGAAAAAGCTGTCGACACGTTGACCATCTGGAAGTGCTGGTAAACGTGTCGGCAAAAGTGAGACATGGTGAGTTCAGCACTTTCTTCGCAACGTTTTTGGTTCTTCGCAACTCTGGCACGTTGCTCTTCGACTGGCACGTTGGCCCCTTCAGCGGCTGAAGGCGGGGTCTGAGACGATGCCAGCCTGCCTCAGTTGGCACAGGAGTCGTTCAAATCGATTCAGAATACAAGTCCAAGGAGTCCAAGGCACCTGAAGATCAAAACTAGCAGAAATTCAGTGGAAGATCCAAACCAGGACATCTGTCTTGGATCCAGGGCAAAGGTGTGTTATTTCAATTTCGTCGGAAAGAAGGTGGAGCCAAGACAGGGCACGAGAGAGACAGAGTGAGAGTGAGAGAGAGAGAGGGAGGGAAATAGTAAGAAAAATCAAATGATAGAGATCCTTCTGAGATCTTGCCCGTAAACCCAACTCTACCATCGGAGTAGCTCCCTCAAGATTTTGATCGCGACCTGGAGCGAGAAGCCTTCCGAGACCTGGGCAAGACCGGGCGACCAATCCACGTTGAGAAGTTTTGGAGCTGTTCCCACGGGTACGTAACAGTATGCATTCTAGTTCTAACCGCGGAGTATCAAAGGCTTCTGGGTAGTAGTGTAGAAATTGTAGGGAAATGAATATGCCAAGTATAACCTACAACACAAAATTCCTCAAGCAAGTCTAATGAACTTAGTGAACTGATAACTTGCTGTATATAGTTCGGTCCAAACACACAAGCTGAGTGCATCAACTCAAAAAGGATCACCAACCATCAACTCAAAAGGATCACCACAACAAAACCAGCTGCGAAAGTGACCACCAGAACACCCAGTCGTGCCACTTGGATCGACACCCCGGGATCGAGCTCCTGACTTGGATCGAGATTTCTTTTTCCGGGAGCGAGATCGGCTTTCGTGGCGTCGGCCTTGCGAAAACCGTCATTTCGAAGCTGATTTTTCTGACCTATAGAGGTCCTCTTCTGCATCCTCTAGCTACAGGGTGTTCTTGGAATCTCATCTTGGCAAAACAATCGCAGTGACTTCAGGGTTCAGTCAGAGTGATTGCTGAGTCAGCTGAATCGGCATGCGTGAACAAGCTGGATGACACTGTTGGGTCATACCAGGGTCATACGCCAAAACAACGCCCCAATCAGGCAGCTTGCCTTGTTTTGGGCGTTTGCTTGAGAAAAGAAGTGTGCGTCTTGCTCGTCTGACGATCGGATGATCGGCCACCTGCACGGTCTTTGTCCCGATCTTTACTTCTTTCTGGGCTGGCCAAGCGGCCATCCTTCCTGAGTTGGAAACTGAAAATAGCTCTGGCGGGTCCAAAGACGAGTCAGTTTCACACTGCACCCATGATTCCATGATGACACCCCTCAAGCTTCAGTCCTGGCCGACAACGCAACCCCACAGGAGCGCAGCCCTTCATACCTACTCCAGTACTAATGCAGACAATGCTGCTCAATTCTTGTAAGAAGTGGAAGGATAGCCTGCCAGCAGGGAGGGGCTGTGGCCAAAAATTCATTGGGGGTTCAATGTGAGGCTTCAAAACCGGCCACAGTCCGAGCAAACCCTTCAAACGCAATAAACTTTTGCGCCTGCGATGGGTTGGGTAAGTTCTTGAGATACTTTTCCTCGGAGGCAGAGAGCCAGATATGGCCGTTAGCAGCACTTGTTGCTTTGACAGAACGAAGCAAGTGGAACAATCAAACCATAGAATGTTAACGAGCCAACAAAGAAGGCTGAAATGTGCTTAGCAGCAAGGATGATCGTGGTCATTTCTACCTGACCTTTTCTAGACTATATGGCAGAAAGATCCACCTACCTGTCTACCACCCCGGTCTTCTGGTTTGTGCCATGGTGCCAGTTGTCGGATGTCCTCCAACTTTTGGCTCCGAGGGTGACACACCTCCACGAACCTGCGGAGAGCTTCACAGGTCGGGGAGCTTCACCGGTCGCATCGGATGCCAGGCCGCGCCGGCTTCACCGTGGCGAACCACAGCATCGAACAAGTCTAGACTTCCTCCTGACTGAAATGCAAAGCTTACGTACTACAGGTGCAAAATGAAACACCAAAAAGAATCTTCTTGCTCTTGAAAGAATCTCTTCTGCGGAGCTCGCTGCATTTCGCAAGAATCTCCCCTTTTCTTCCAGTGCCTGGCATGAGCTCGGTCATCCAGCTTGTACTTGCTCCTGCCAGTTCGTCATGGACAATAAATAATGGTATTGTACCCTCTGTCGTGCATGATCTAATTATATATGTGATTGATGCATGTTGATCCACTCTCCAGCAAGGATGTTAGTGCACATCATTCAATTGTGGATGTCAGAACACTACTTAGGAAGCTCCAGCAGAAAAAGAAGAGGATTTGAAAAGTGAACGAATAGAAAACATGCAACAAGTGATCCACAAACAGAAACTGCCAGTCGTTCGGGTGGACATGGTCTTCCTAAACTTCAAAACAGCACTTTGCGCACGGACAGACACTCCTGAAGGTGAGCATGCACTGATCCAACTTGCCTGCTCCTGCCGGTTGTCTGAATCCCTATGCCCTGCCTACACTGCGAAAGCAAAGGCGTCCGTGGGCATACTTGTTAGATCAGGTTCAAGCTCCAACTAAGTAAAACCAATCTAAAGGAAATGCAGAAACAATCGGTGTTCTTCCTGCTGCATGATTTGTTTGTTTGTTTTCTTTTCCGCGGAACACTCTAAACCAGCACAAAGAAAACTCGGAATGAGTCATTGTTTGTCTTGACGACACCCCACATTTTAAAAATCGTAATTGACCTAACTGTCTAATTTGCTAAGCAAATCATCGCAATTGCCACGGGTGTTGTTTTCTTTGTTCCGCCAAGCCGCCAAGCCCTCAGTTTCTCGCTTTCGTGCTTACCATGCATTTGTGTTCCATTTGTCTCGCTGTATCTTGTTCCTGCATGGGGGGACCAACCAAGTTGTGCTTCAGTGACAAATCATTGCAAGGAGGAGTTGGGAAAGCTGTTGTTCGCCAACCTTCCTGGCTCAACCTTCCTTCTTGCTTCGCCCAGTCTGGGTGAGTCGCAGAAACCGACACTCGTCCTGTGAAGCAACCCCGTTCGAGCTCACCGATCTTCACCTCGACTCAAACGACTCCCATTGTGATGCAACACATAAATCCAACCTTTCTGGGCATACATCTCTGTCCAGAAACGCATCGACTTGGCAAGAGTACTGTTTTGCAGAATGATCAGATGACTTGTAATGATTGTAAAAGGCCAAGGGGCGGCGGCAAACGAAAGTTCGGGCAATCGGTTGCAAGCTCGTGCGTCACTCTATCTAATCCTGGTTCAATAAATCAACGACCAACTCAAAACGTTCCGTTATCGATGCTACTGCTCACTGCTCGGCGACTTGGCACAGCTGAGCACCAGCGAGACCTAACTGTAAGGGCCAACTTAGCGCTAAATTATCTTCTCTTAACGTAATGGGGGAGGGGGGTTGTGATAATATCTCTGAATTGGCCTCAGGTCTCATCTGGCTTGCTAAAGAAAGACTAAAAACCTTGCAGGGGGACGACGGCAAAAAATTGGACGGGCCACAGACTGTTGATGCTGCGTTCTGATTCAGATTCAGATTTCACTTGTATATGTAAATATATTGTATCTTAGTGTGCTTTGTTTGTTCCAGTTTACAAGTTCATGGCTGTAGAGCACAAAGTTTTGAAACCTACGCTTACAGCACCACCACGAGATGAACAAGTCCACTTCACTTCAGTGAAGTTCCTTCCCACCACCCCCAACTGGTAGAAGGAAAAAATGGACCACAAACATCCACCAACCAACCCCATTGGATGGCTGACATGGACCACCAACCAGGCTCCGGAGGTCGTCCCTCCCAACACCGATGTGCAGCAAGTCCCTGGCCATCAGGGATCCCGATGGCTTCTTCGCCGACTCACAAACCTGGCGAACCAGCGGAACGAAGGAACAAAAATCAGCAAAAGCTCCGTTCGTAGCGTCCGATCGCTCCTAGTAGTAAGAATGCTCCTAGTAGCGATGCCAGGAGCCCCTAGTAGCGATGCCCTTGCTAGTAGTAGCATCCTTGCTCCTAGTAGCAAGGCCAGGAGCCCCTAGTAGCTTCTTGCTCCTAGTAGCGATGCCCTTTGCTCCTAGTAGCTTCCTCTACTGAATCGTTTGATCGGTGACAGGTTTCTTGCACTTGAAAAGGCATGAACATGATGTTGATCCTCTTCTTTTTGGGCATTGCCTGAAGCAGTGTCCAAAGCTGGCGAGAGGTCTTTCTGCTTTTTGTTCAGAGATGAAGGGGGTTTCATCCATTTGCACCATTCTGCAAAAGGTATGGCCTCATAGAGAGCCTTGAGGTCAGTTTCGAAGGAATCCTCTCTGGTTCGCATCACATCGTCTAACCGCCGCACAATCCTTGCAACAATGCGTTCCAGATGCAGCGTGGACGTGGTCAGGAAGTGCTGAGGAAGACTTGTGCAATTCATCTAAGAACTTCAAGCAAACATAGACCACATCCACTGACCCTACTGTGGATAGTCTCCAGCACTATGGGCTAGTAAACTTGGCGCACATAAAGCTGTTCAGAAATACCCTGTTCCGCCGGAGACACTTCTCTTCAATCGCGAACTTCTTGCAAAGTGCTTCGACCTGCCGGAGACTTCTTGGCAAGGAGGCTAATCGAACAAAATGTCCAAAGAACATCAAAACAGACTTTGAGGCTCAAACAAAACTGTGCAATTTCGTGTATACGTTGCACTATGTATTGCTTCTATGCGCACTTAGACAGGTCAACGGCGTGCAGCAAGCTATGCAGCTATACGATACTTGTGCTTTGCATTGACAGCATAAAAACACTACTTGAGAGCAATATATATATATATCGCTTGTCCACCCGTGACATCAGGGACCTTCGGCCCGAGGCAGGAAGACGTTCACGATCGTGGCCCCTAGGGAGGGGCGGCTACTCAGCAATTGGTAGCGCAGCCCAGGCTGTCCTGGGCTCCAGCCATATGTTGGTGATCCTTCGGTGAGGATCGTCACCCGTGACATGTCTTCGTCGGCCGCAGCATCGGATGCTGCACCCGTGTTCTCTGGCGAGAATCAAGATGGGAGAGAATATAAAAGATGGAAAGTGTCGGTGAAAAACAAGCTGTTGACTATGCACAAGCTTCCTGAATCCGCTCGTGGAGCCTTCACATACCCTCTTGAGTGGGAAAGCATTGGAGGCAGTGGAGCACTTGGATCCAGACCAGTATCAGAAGAAGGATGGTGATGCTGTGCTTTGGAACAGCTTGGAGAGATCTTGGGACAGGTGTTCAATCTGAAATCCCAAGAAGGGGAAAACATGATGCAATGGTCGGCCCGTGCTTCAGAGCTTTTTGACAAGTGCCACCGCAAGACGGGAGTTCAGTTTCCCGACGAAGCTCGAGGCTGGATCTTGTTGCACCGAGCAGGCCTCAGCAAGGAACAAAAGGCTGTTGTCATTGCTCGCGCCCGCGGTGATCTCAAACGAGAGTCCGTCTCCGCTGCCCTTCATTCATGCTACCCTGATCTGGTGATTGGAAAACGGCGAACAGCCGTGGCATTGGCAGAGGAGACCACTGAAGACATGACTGACCAACTGGACACCTGGGAAGAAGAGTTCTCAGACGTTGAACGTTTGCTGGAAGATCATCACTCGTCTTCAGAATGGGCAGGCGATGCAGAGGCCTACAACAAGGCCGAGGTGGCGGAGGCGCTGGCCGCTTCATGGAAAGAGCGACGACAAGAGTTGAGCAAACTTCGAAAGACCAGGCAGTTCCAAAAGCCCAAAGATGTGAACAGGGCTTTTAGAGCTGAAGCCTGGCCGCTTCTTTGGTGCTGGTGAGAAAGCCGGTTTTGTCCGTGTTCAACTTCAGGCCAGCTTGCTCCATCTGATACTTGAGAGTTCTGAAGACTCCAACTGCTTCTCTGGCAGCAAAATCAGCGTCTCTGCTGTGAACGTCGAAGCTGACTTCATCCACCCAAGTCTGAAGGGAGACTGCCGGGCGAGCAGACCAATGCCTGCAGTGGCTTGAAGAGAATGAGCTTTGAGATGGCGGGCGCTTGTGGGCAACCTTGCAAGATGCCTCTGTCGTAGTGCCTTGGGATCTCCATTGATGCCTTCAGCCTGGATGGTTCTCGGCCCTTGGTAGAGATTTCAGACGCAAAGGAGGATAGGCCAGCTCACGTGCCGGCTCAATGATCTGGCCCAGGTCCACATGGTCATAAAAGCAAGTGAGGTCTGCTAGGCAAGTGGCCGTGTGGACGCCCTGATGCTTGGCGATCTCAGCATGCAGCACTCTCCCAACGCAACGCTCAAGCAATCTCTGCCTGGCAGTTGTTCATCCAGGGAGTATTGCCACCTTTGTAGATCTGCTTTCCGGCTATTGCACCAAACCCGATAGATGCAGCTGGTCAAGGCAATTGGTCTCTCTACCTTGGGGATGAGCACGATGTTGGTGGCTCTGAGTTGCACAGCCAATTCTCCTTCTCGTTCCATGGTGGTGAGGAGATCCGCTAGCTTTTCGACTTCCGGGAATGGTAAATGCCTGAGGCCTGAGGAAGGCATAGGAGAAAGACACACGACTTGCAACCGATGTGGTCGCCGTGGCCATTGGGCGAGGGAGCGCAGGTCAAAAGACACTCGAAAAGGTCAAGGCAAAGGCACCGACAAAGGCTCGAGCGCTTCTGGAGCTGCACCATCGGGCGCAGCCGTTGTGGAAGAGCTGGATTTTGTGGCCGCCGTGATGGCCTCTCCAACTCCCTTGGAACAGGCTCGCAGCCGCTTCGGTCAGTCGTCACCGACAGAGAAGTCGACGACCCCTGACGAAGTCTTGCTGGTCTCGTCACAGTGATGGCCTCTCCAACTCCCTTGGAACAGGCTCGCAGCCGCTTCGGTCAGTCGTCACCGACAGAGAAGTCGACGACCCCTGACGAAGTCTTGCTGGTCTCGTCTCCTGGCTTTGGGGTGATTGATTGAGGTTGTGGTCGGACAGTCATCGGAGCAACCACACTTCAGAGCTTCGAGCGATGGTGGCTACAGCGTGGTTGGCCCCTTCCTCCGAAGGTGTCGGAGGTTCATCAGTTCAAGTTTAAATGGTGACATTGAGACGTCGCATCAATCCGCGCAGATGCCTGTGGTGTTGGCGAATCGGCGAGGCACCATCATGAGCAGCAGTGATCCGAGGGGATGCTCTCCTCATCAGTCGCAGTGCCCTGAAGACCCTTGGCGCTTCTTTGGATTTTCAGCACGCTTGTCTGCACGTGTTTGGACAAAGCGTTCCCCTGAAAACCAATAGTGCCGGGCAGTACGTCGTTGATCTTCTCGCCCCAAAAGAGACGCGTGGCAGCTTTCACCGAAATCATGATGCTTGAGCCGCAGCCCCCACCGGAGAACCAAGCTGAACCGAGCCAGAGCAGTTCGGATGTGGTGACTGCCGATGAGCAGCTCTCCATCTGGACTGGACCGGACCCAGGAGAAGAGTGATGTTTCCGCCACACCCTGGCTGTCTCGTTCCGGGCCTCGGTGGAAGCAGGTGATTCGTAGACGTGTTTTTGATGGTGAATCCCATCAGGTGATTGATGACACACGGGTTTGTCCAGGGAGCCCTCAACGCAAGACTCAAGACCATTGTTCGTTTGCTCCGTCGTTTTCCGCGCGTTCGTACTGAATTCACCTATTTGGGAGAAGCTGTAGGTAGTTCAGACGATTGGAACCCGACATCTCATGAGGCTCGCCAGTTGCATACTCATGCCAAGGTGTGTCTAGCCGTACACACCCGCCAGCCGAAAGATCGATGTTTGGTTATGGAAGTAGTTTTCTCCACCCAGGTTTGCTAAGGAAGCTGAGGCCCACCTTTTTCGTTCTCGATCCTACGACGACCTGAAGACCGGGCTTGACCTCCGAACGACTGCGCACAGGAGACAAGTCGAGCAGGATCTCCTCAATGATCCACCAGCGTTGCTTGTCTTGTGCCCTCCGTGCACTGATGAAGGGGGGTTGGTTCAATTTGAATACGTTGAAATGGGATCGTGTTGAGGTTCTTCGTAGAACAGCCTTGAGCCGTAGCTTCATTCAGAGGTGTTGCAAACTGTTTCGAATGGGCGTTCAATTAGGGTGTCAAGTGGTGTTCGAACATCCCACAGGAGCTCGTACCTGGCAGTATCCAGAAGTGGAGACCTTGCGCCCACGACATCACACAGTGAAGCTGCACATGCGCAGGTATGGTCTGAGATTGCCCAATATTGAGCGTTTCATCCGCAAGAGCACTCGCCTTCTGGTCTCTCATGAAAGCATGAAGATTATGCGCGATCACCAGGGCAACCATCAGTGTCATGACATAGTCGCCGGGGGAGAGCCAGGAGTTCCCAGCATAAGTGAATTTGCTGGAGCTTGCCCAGTCAAATTTGTTCAGGCTGTGTTGAACACTGTTGAACTGCTTGGTCAGAAATCAGCAGGCCGATTCACGTCCCCTGTCGAGTGCTCACGCGTAAGCCACCTGGAGGTAACCGACGACAATGTCCCTGAAAGATGTTGGCCAGAAGTCCTTGCAGTAGGTAGGTGTGAAGCAAAGCCGGACAGTGATCTGATGTCATCCTCCCAATCATGGTCAGAATCCTTCGTCATGGTCAAGCTTGCGATCAGGCCTTGAGGCTTGCAAGGTCCTTCTCATGTGACCTTTGCAGGAGTCAGATGAAACCAAGCTCAAAGGGTGGTTGCCTAACCAGAAAGTGAAGGCCCCGAACGTAGTGGATTCAGCTAGCAGTTTTCAGCGTGTGATTTCTTTCTTTGAGACTGAGACCGCCAATGTCCATCATAAGTTGTTGACTGACCGCTGGACCTCATGGGCCTGGGGCGGTTCCCCCCAAAGCAATCGCGCTGGGCCCAGCCAAGACAAACCTCGGTGACCCGATGGTCGTGCCCGCCGAACTGCAGGGTACACATATCCGACCCAGCACACTGGCAACTGGTCACGGAGGGCGGTTCAATCGTGTCTTAGAGAAACTGCTAGATGAGTTTCCCCCATCCGCAAAAGAAGAATGGCTTGAATGCGTTGCGCATTGTCATGTGAAAAATCAACAGTTGCAGGCTCATGGATTTCCCCCCCTACCAATTCGTTTTTGGTCGCAACCCGCACATCCCGCAGGATTTGTTGAATCAACCATTGCAAGTTGCGCCAGCTACTGCTTCCTTGGCGGATGAATCCATTGCACGTGCGCAAGCACTCCGAACGACTGCCCGTACTGCTTTGATCCAAATGCAATATGATCGTGCTCTCACAATTGTTCTCTGCTTGCAAGACCCCGAACTGCCGTAGTGTTCAATCCAGGGGATATGGTAGCGTACTGGCGTAATCAAAAATGGGCAACTCCAACAAGGGGCTCAGTGGTACGGCGTGGCCATCGTCCTAGGTAAAGTGGGTCGCAACGTGGATATCGTTCACCGCCGACAGGTGTTGCGTTGTGCTCCAGAGCAACTGAGACCAGCCACCAATGAGGAGAAAGCTTTGATCGCTTCCCCTGATGTTGAGATGCTAGGTATCAAAGATTTGATTGATCGGGGCAACCTGCGTAGCAAGCAATATATAGATCTCCTTCCTCAATCTAGATCCATCAAACGAGTCTGATCCCAGCTCTGTTGCAGCGCCGTCTTCACCAGACGACCGCGCCGGTGACTCGGCGCCAGTCATGCTTGCGCCGCCAAGTGGTGCGGTTCCAGCGCCTCGCGCAGAGAAGATGGAGGTCGAAACCGAGGAATCTACAGTACATAATCCGAGCCCTGCTGAACCGTCCAGCAGTGATCCGGCATCCAGGGACTCCCCCGCCTTCGTCGACCTATGGTCCGGTCCGTCGCAGGATCGAAGGGAAAGATGGACCAATGGCATTGTGGCGTCCGCCAGCTCTTCGCCAATCTGATTTTTGTAGACATGATGAAAGAAATTGATCCCAACTGGTTGACACGTATCTCAACCAGAATAAACATCCTGCGTCGCCATCGATCCGGAGAAGAGCCAGTCGCTTCGAAGCCACGTGCGTCCGAAGTGCTGAGTGTTGAAGAAGTCCAGGAATTGATCAGCGCTCAGGAGAAATCATGGGAGTGTCTCATGTCCGAATATATGAGAAAGAAGATCAGTAAAGAGCTTCCCCATAGTAACAATCCTCCTGATGTTCAAACGTTGGTCCAAGAAGGTAAAAGGGTTGAATGGGCCACGATCCTGTCCAAACCAAACGCCGTCAAGATCCATTATGGAACCAAGGCCAAACGAATCAAACAAGAAGAGTGTCATCGTTTCATTGGCAGCCGGTTTGTTTTGACTCGAAAGCCGTTAGAAGAAGGTCTGAGTGTAGACCCCCTGGACAGTGACACCTTCACTGTCAAAGGCAGGTGGTGTTTGCAGGGTCATCTCGATCCCGACCTCTCACAAAAGGCTGAGCTGGGGCTTCTCAAGTCTCCTACGCTGAGTCAACTTGGACGCGTGCGCCTGACGCAGACAATCGCGTCATGTGGATGGACCCTGCAACTCGGTGGCATTAAGGAGCGGGCCCCCCCAATGATGCATTTCGGCCTCTCTATGCCAGTCAACCTCCGGGGGGCATTCCAAGTCTGCCAGAAGATGCTGTCATCGAGGTGGTGGGTAACATATACGGTCAAAACAACGCACCAGTTGCATGGTACAAAGAGTTCAGCTCCTTTGCAAAGGGTCTCAATTGGCATCAGAGTGTGCTAGATCCAAGCCTGTTTACACTTCGCGATTCGTCCAACCAGTTGATTGGAGTCATGGGGGTTCACGTGGACGACACGGCCGTTGGGGGTTTCGGAAAACTCTTCGAAGACTCCATCGCTCAACCCAAGAGTCGTTTCCCGTACCGCAAATGGCGGGTGAAGTCAGGTGAGTTTTGTGGAGCGTGGTACGCCCAGTCGACCGACGGCACCATCCGCACGGACATGGACTCTTTGCCAAGAAAATTCGCCCCGTCAATGCGCCCAGGAACAATGCGCCAGATGAACCTTTGGCTGATGGTCAAGTCAAAGTACTGCGTGCTGTGAAGGGAAGTTTGGGATGGCTGTCGTCTCAGTCACGTCCGGACCTGAGTGTCCAAACAAGTCTGTCGCAAGAGGCTTTTCCCAGGCCAAAGATCGAGGACTTTCGAATGGCAAATCAAGCAATTCGAAGACCCAAACAAGACCTTGCTGTAGTCTTCAAACCGATGTAGGATTGCCCTAGTATGTCATGGTGATGCGGCGTTTGCAAATCGAGGTAATCACACACAAGCTGGGTGTATCATCGGTTTTACTGATGTATCACTCCAAGAGGGTCGGGAAACCACATGGTGCCCTGCAGCATGGAAGAGCTATCGTCTCCACCGAGCCGTAAGTAGCACCCTGTCGCCGAAAGTCAAGCTTTGGCAGGCGCAACCGGCGCAACCGAGCGGATTACGCTGATGTTGGCTGAGACTTTTGACGGGCCATTGACGATCCGCACATGCCGAGATGCGCTGAAAAAACGCCGACCGATTATCGCGACTGATTGCAAGAGCTTGTACGATCATTTGCACTCTCCTTCCTCACCTACTTCCATAGAAGATAGACGAACAAGCATCGATGTCGTAATCATCAGTGAGAGTTGCCAGGACATCTCTTCATTTGTTTGATGGGCGCCAACAAATCGCATGATAGCCGACGCCCTCCCTAAGAATGGCGGGGAACCAGTAGATTTGCTTCCTTCGGTCGTGCATGAAACGTTCAGCGTATCAAATCTCCCCCGAAGAAACAGTCCTGGAACATCAAGCTCGTGAAAAGGAATACCGGAAAAGTCTCCAGGCATCTCGTAATGTCTCAAGTCCGAGAACCAAAGGAGCAGACACGGACTTAGAAACTGTCCACGTCTCGAATTTAGGGTTTTGAGCTTTAAATTTAGTGTACTGTGAGCAGTGCAGCTGCGCTTGTGCATGATTTTCTTGTTAGTTTGTGGGGTTAGCTTAGTTTCCTGCAGCGCTGTAACCGCGTCGTGTTGACATCAATCTCAGGGAGTGGACTGTGTGAGTCGACAGTCGCTCTTTATTTTTGAACACTGCAGATTGTTCTCAAGCCCGAAGCGTGTCAGTGGTGTATTTTTCGGCAGTTTCCTCCCGACCAGATGGCCGGTCAACCCAATCATCTTTCAGCCACAGCTAAGGAGCTTGTGACTAAGGTCGAAGAAGAAGGGTCGGCTATCAGCATGAGGGTGGGTCTATGAATGACTCAGTCAAGCGTCGCTTCACCGATGGTCCAAGTGACTCATGTGCACTCACAGCGACCTATCGTGAAAGTAGGTACCAAGGATCAAAGTAAGATCGAGTATCCCAAGGGCATCACTTCCATGGAGCACTGGGGCCGAACGTTGATCACGTCAGGCAAACTGGCCAAGCGTGATATGTCGTATGAAGAACTGGCCAGCTCTCCAGATTCCGAGATGGTGAACTACAGCCGATGGCTGACGGCTCAGACAGATCGCTCCAACATGTCTGCTCCGATCAAAGACATGATCGCCTACTTGCTGGCCTTTACCAAGTTGGCAGAGACCGCACCCGATCGATTTCCAGACAGCACGGTGCCGCGCCGGTTCAAGAAGTGAGTTGTAGCTGAGGATGAATGGATGAGACGGCTGCCCAGAGAGATGCTTTCATGACCTTGAGCACGACTATAACCACCGGTGGAAGTTCGAACTTTTGAAAGCATTAGAGTTTCTACCAGTCGCTTTGTCCACCCGTGACATCAGGGACCTTCGGCCCGAGGCAGGAAAGAAGTGTCCGATCGTGGCCCCTAGGGAGGGGCGGCTACTCCGCAATATATATATATATATATGTGTGTGTGTATGTGTGTGCTTGTTTCAAGCAATGGGATGCAATGCGTATAGAGATGTGTAGAGAGAGAGAGACTTCTGAGCACACCGTACTTCCTGTCGCACCGAGGAAAGAAAACCTTCACGTAGTGGCGCCCAAGAAACCGTCTTGTGGAAATTGTTGGAACCAAAAAACAACTTCGGCACCGGACTGGCCAACCCACTAGTTATATATAGGTTGGACAGATTTGGAGTTTCGTTCTTGGGAACCAATCACCATGTAATAAGACGCGTGGCGTTGCGCGTCACCCCGAGCCGCGCTTTCCAAACACGAGTTCGGCACCTCCGGATGGATGGCGGGCAAACAATGCTCGGCATTTGGAGCCCGCTTTCCCTTGCCTTTGCCTCGAAATCTTCTAACTCCAGCAACGAATGAATGTCCAGCAATCCAATGACTCCAAGCTCTTTAGAATCTACAGTGGAATCTTATGTCACCGTTCTTGTCTTTGCCCAGAAGCAAGCGACTACGGGTTTCACAAGCAAGAAAGTGATTGCATACTGTACTGCTTGGTTTTAGCTTCCATTCCAAAAGCTCAGTCCTAAACCTTTCCGAATGGTCTGCTCAACAGGCCCTTCCTCCTGGCGAAGAGAGCAGCACGCATTGAAATAGGGAGACCTTCCCAGTTGGACACCCTTGGAAGAAGAAAAGAGACCAGTCTAGTCTAGTCTTTGCGCCAGAAGGTCTCCCAGGCCTTCTAATACACAAGTCATGTCCAGGCCTTCTTCTCTTCCTCATCCTCATCTGCTGATCCAGATGTGGAACCCATGGATGCCATCTGGGCCATCATTGCCATCATGGGGTTCATCCCCATCATAGACATGCCAGGCATCATCCCCGACATCATGCCGGGCATCATTCCTGGCATCCCTGATGACATCCCCATCATTGGCATGCATCCGCTACAGCCACAGCCTGTGCCACAGCTACCACTGCAGTTTCCACAGCCACTGCAGTTTCCACAGCCGCTGCATCCGCAACTGCCGCAGCCAGCGCAGCCACCACAGCCGCCGCAGCCACCGCAGCCAGGGCAGCCAGAGCAGCCGCAGCCACCACAGATACTGCAACCACCACAGCTACCGCAACTGCCACAGGTGCCACATCCATTGCAACAGCTGCTGCATCCGCCGCAACTGCCACAACCACTGCAGCTGCCACATCCTCCGCAAGGGCCACAGCTACCGCATCCACAGCCACCACAACCGCACCCGCATCCGCAGCTGCCGCATCCACTGCAGTTGCCACACCCACATGGAGGAGGCATGCTCTGCAAGGGGGGTGGTGGTGGGGACATCCCCATGCCACTCTGCATCTCGGGCGCAGCAGCGAAAAGTCACGGAGTCAGTAATCAACACAGCTTAGCTACTTGGTGTTCCGAGTTCCAAAAAAGTCAAGTGAAAGCTCAGCTCGAAAGTAACCAAGTAACACCACCTCATCATGTTCTACCTGGGAGAGCCAGATCTATCTTGTTACTTGGCTGGTCCTGTACACATTCCCTGCAGGGTCCGGCGAGAGCTCCATTCCAACCCCACTCCATTCTAGTCCCTTTCTTCCTTAGCAGAAAACGGGCCTCACCCTACGATGATCTTGAAATGATGCTGCTTGCCCTGTCTTTTGCTTGATTACTTCAAGGCTGCCAGGCCATGGTCTTGAGGGATACGAGGCCATGGATGCAGCTGGGCGCAGGCTTGAGCACAGGAACGCGGGAATGATCCGTAAACCAAACCTGAAGACACACTTGGCTCTTCAAACACCAACCACTCCCAGAATGCAAGAACTCATGCATGGTAGGGTAGAGTGTATCAACGGTGGTGCGGCCCCTTTCTGTCAAAGAGCTGATAGAACTTAAAAACTGAAAAACACAAAGCTCCAATGCTCACCAGCTGCTCCTCTTGCTATCCAGAACTCTAGCCTCGGTGGATGTCGAAACAAAAACCTTGAGGGAGACGTACCTGGCACCCATGGCTTCACTGTTCGGGTTACTCGGTTACTCTGTTACTCTGTAAGACAGCAAAGTTCAATCTAAGGCACTTGTTTCTAACAGCTTCTTTGTTACTACTAGTAAGGCAACTGTTACTACTAGCGTGGCACTTGTTACTACTAGCTTCTTGTTACTA